AGAGAAACAGTGCATGGCGCTAGAGGAGTGGACGCTGCAACGGGCAGCGCGGAAGGGCGGTGCGAGCACCAGCGCTTCGATGAGCGACGCGGAAACTGTCGATCTCGCGGCGTCCTCCCCCTTGAGCTGGCGGCGTCCTCATCTCAAGCTCCATCGCATCGTCCTCCTCGAGCTGACGGTGTCATCCTCCTCGACTTTCTAGAATGGGCTGCGGCGGCGAGAGCTCGAGCGGGTGTGGGGCAGCGGCGGCGAGCTCCCGTACGGGCGTGGGTGGTGTGGAGGCGAACCCTACACGGGTGTGGAGGCCGCGACTTTGAGCTCCAATACGGGTGTGGGGGCGTGGCGGCGAGCGCCCATGCGGGCTCGAGCGTGCGTGGGATTTGTGAGAATTTCTGTACGCGTGAGGATCTCACAAGGAAGTTTTTTTATGCATGAGATTTGGGCACAAATTTTCCCTTTCCTAACGGTGTGGGAGGATAATGTTGACAAAAAATCCAGATGACGGTTGGGCTCCGTAGGCAATGGTGTGGGTCCTGTTAAACAGTAGATAACGACGTCAAATGCACCATCCATCCAATTCTCTATTATCCCTCCAACCAAACACAACAAAATGATAAAGAGAATAAGTTGCATTGGTTGAACTACTAAAGAAAGGTGTCGTCTTGCGTGTGGGTAATGTTGGAAGCATTAGAATTTGGGAGGACCCAAGGTTACCTTATGGAGTTACTAGAAGGCCAATCACGCCAAGGAGGGGTAATATTCTATCCAGGGTATCTGATCTTATTGACCCCTTGACTGAAGGTTGGGATGCAGAGCTGATTCAGTCCACCTTCTGGCCGGAAGATGTGCCAAAAATCTTAGCTATCCCTGTGCACGTGGAGATGGAGGATACTTTAGCATGGCATTATGATTCCAAAGGAATTTTCTTGGTGAAAACAGCTTACAGTGTTTTCTGTGACAGTCACAATCGCAACAGCAAACATGACTCAGCAGCGTCTAGTTCAAGATTTGGGGGCGAAACTGAAAAAGCATGGAGCATGATCTAGAGTATGCAAGCGCCGAGTAGACTAAAACACTTCTTATGGCGCTTAGCTCATAATTCTTTGGCTATGCGCTCAAACCTGAAACGCAGAGGCATCAAGGTTGATGCTGATCGCCGCATTATGTGTAATAGAGGGGGCGAGGATGGTGGTCATCTTTTTCTGAAGTGTAAGTGTGCCAAAGCGCTGTGGAGAAGTGCAGGACTGGAGTATGTACGCAAGCTGATGGTTGAGTGTTGTACTGCGATGGAGGTGGTAGAGAAGATGTTGACAATAGATGACGAGCTACAGTTGAAAACAGCTCTTCTACAGCATGAAAGAAACCAAGTCAGAGAAGGAGAAAAGAGAAGATCGGCTGATGAAATTGCAGGCTTGCATGGGAGGCAAGCAGCAGAAATCAACAACTTGCAGTGGATTACTGCTGAAGATACAGGAGCACGGAGTAGAAGAAGGACATGGGAGACAGCCCCACATGGCATGTTGAAACTGAATGTGGATGGAGCGTTCTGGGGCTCTGATAAGAATGGTGGATGGGGCTATGTCATCCGCGATGAATGTGGCGAAGTGATTCAATCAGGGTCTGGAAGGGTGCCATTTGCAATCAGCCCGATACAAATGGAGCTTATTGCAAGCATTGAAGGAGTGAAGGCAACGATATCCCACGGCGTCAATAATATCATCCTGGAGACCGATGCACAACAGGTGGTGTGGGCGATACGGGGTGATGATTTCAGACTTGCTGTGGTGGGTGGCTTAGTCTATGAGCTCAAAGAATTGGTGGTAGAAATTTTTGCATCTTTCCTTGTCAAATATGCTCCACGTGACTGTAATGGAGTAGCACATGAGCTTGCTTCTATAGGGAGTAGGAGCCATGATTTAGCGCCCTCAGTGTTGGCCGGTGTGCCAAATTGTATCATGGTTTTGGTGTCAGGCGATTTCGCCGACATGGTTGAGTAATGGAATGAAAATTCCTATAAAAAACACAAAACGGGTCGATCCCATCCCTTCTCAACCAAACAAAGCCAACCCATCCCCATCCCGTCCCAGAAATCAGAGATGGAACCATTCCACTCCACCTTAACTCCCAACCAAACGCTACCTTAACCCCCCAAACCGCCTTATACCCGACATACGTCAGTTTATAAGGGAAGGTCGGATCCTACAGAGGGGGAGACCAAAGCAGACTCAACAGAGTCCTCTGGACAACTCCGAGCTCTACACCAAGAGCAGAGCAACCCAGAGAGGAACCACCGAGCACTCCTCACCCACCATCTTCTTCTCCATCGCCAGGGAAGCAACCTCACCACCAACGAGCCATAGGATAGCACCGAGCGATCCCCTTCCAAATCTCTTACACACTCTTGTTATAACCCCCGATTTAGGGGCTCTCGAATACAAAGAATTACTATTGCTAGATATAGGGCCCTAATAGCCCGAACCATGATACATCGCCGTGTCTTCTCTGTGTTCTTGAGTCCACCCATGCTACTAGAGACCAACACTCAGTGACACCCAACGAACAACAATGCCTGCTACGGTTTCTATCCCGCGACAATAGGCATCTTATGTACCTCTAACCTACACCTAATCCTCAACTATCATTCAACTCTTAATTCTCGCTTAAACCTAAGGCTGGCATGTATACAGATACAGATATAATGGCGCGGCATGATGTGCAGCCGGTGATACAGACAGCTTTAATTTAGGAATTCCCAACTTTAAGATTCTGAATCCGCCACTGCCATTCAGAAGAGCCCTGCCAAAGGGCTCCGAACGTTGGCTGCCCATGGAAGAATTTCCTTTTGTTGCTAGGCCGTGAGTGCTGAGTGGTGATACTCTCATTTTTTTTGTTCATTTTGCTAGCTGTTGCTCTTTTATTTTTCTGTTTCCTTTATAATATCGTAGAAGTATGAGGTCTTATACTGGTATATGTATATTTTTTTTATTTTGCTCCTGATGATGTAATAATTAGTCATCAATCTAAGGTATGTGTGAAGATCGCTCTACACTGAGAGCATGACTAATAAATAATAATACAACCCACTGTAGGATGCATATATATTTATGGCTCATTTTATTAGTATATCCATATAGTAGTTGGCTAATAGGACATACTTCGCCATTAATATATGGGTCACTTTTTTCTCTCACAAAGTTTCTTAAGGCTCATGCATCAATTGGATGTAAAGCCCACATTTTTCTCCTTATCTCGGTACAAAGCTCACTTCCACCCTTATATTATATTATATTATATTATACTAGCCGCTTTTATTATATATTATACAATATTATATTATATCATATTGTATTGTATTATATCATGTTATATTATATTATACTTTGCTCCGATGGTAGGCTTGTATTAAATTGGGTACACCCTCCGTCCAAAAATAAATGCAACTCTAAGATTTCACAAAGACATCAGCATCCTCTAATTAAATCTCTTAATAAATCTTGGAATAAAAGAAAAATCAGACAATTAAATACACAGGCATTCTAGAAAATAGATCAAACAATTAAATTCGAATGCATCCTGGAAAGGGAGAAAAGGCAAATAATCAATCAACTACCTGCTCCAAAAAATTACAAGTGCATTCATTGTGGGATAAATTTTGAAGCAACTACATTTGCCAACCTACCTTATTACATCACTCCAACAATCCTCTTATCACCCTTGTTCAATTGTGGTTGGGGTGTAAGTCAAAATAGAAAAAAAAACTCACATTGGATTTATGGATAATCAGGCTTGAATGACTTTCACCATGTCAAGGTGACACTCTACCACCGAGTTATATCTCTTCCCCCTCTCATGGAGAAAGAGAATTAATAAATCATATGGCAAAGGGATGAGAACTCAAGGCCAGGCCACAAGGTCACTCTTCCTCTGAACTTTGTTTTCGCATATTATGGAATTTTTAGACGAACATTACTGATGACGTATCTGAACAAATTCGAATTGGAACAGTTGTGCTAGCCTATCACACTGAATCCCATTTTAACTTTTCCAGTCAAATTTGTTCTCCCTTACTTAGAATTTATTCTAGGCATAAAAACATACGTTTAGGTAGTATGACGTTATAGAAATAAAAAAATCTTATATCACTAGTTTATATTATTTTGTTATATCTCATCCTACAATTTTTTAGTGTGTCCTGCATGCCTTGCGCCTCACTCCGCCGCATACAGTGATGCAGCTATTTGTAAGGATGGCAGCGGGTCCGATAAAATGCAGGTAAAACAAATATACGTCCACGATAAATTGTCTAATTGATAAAATTTCATAACTCCATCGATGGCTGTATGGGCAATAATTTCTCGTATACGTACCATCAGTATGGTACCCATAGATTTATATTGCTATTATAATAATAAATAAAATCCTACGCTCTCCATCCTAAAATAAGTGTAGTATGTATTAACACATGGTCATGAACACAACCTTTCTGTAAGCTAGTTACTAAATCACTGTTAAATCTGAAAGATCCCTTTCTGTGTTCCTCCCTCGTGAAACGTCAAGCAAGGCGCTGCGTTGCGTATGGCCGGCGTGGTTTACTGCCGGTGACCACATCTCCGGCCCCAGATCATCACGAACGGCGCACGCTACCCTCCTCGGCGCCGCACTGCTTAGTACCTACGCGACGCGCAGTCCCCGGCCACCGGTAACGGAAGCCAGCCAGCCAGCCAGGGGCGGGCGGGCGGTGCGCTACGGACAAGCAGTATGCAGGCACCCGTCCGGCCGCGCGGCATGCACGCAACGGCAGCATCCGCAGTGGCGTCACCGCGTCTCCAGCCTCGACCACCGAGGGCATTAGGCCGGTGTGCTGTGGTGTGCTCCCCGCTCTCCCACATTGCATCGATACGATTCTCACTATCCCCTGGCCGCAGCAGTTTCCGAACGAACCCTGTGTGCGGCGTGTCGGGGCCGAGAGAGAGAGAGGTATCTAGACGTACGGCGGCGCCATGGGCGGGCGTGGAGCTCCGGAGGCAACAAGGAGGGTGGTGGCTGTGGTGGGCGTCGTGGTCGCTGCGGCGGCGGTCCTTTGCCCCACCGCGGCTGGGAAATTAGGCAAACAAGGTACGTGCTGGTGCTGCTGTGTTGTTTTTCCTCCGTCCGACCAGCGTGGCCGTCCAAGCAAAATCAGATCTTGTGCTCGATCGACGCACTCTTCTTGGTTCTTTGCTGCTGCGTTGCGTTCCCTTCCATCGACATCATGGTCTTGCGTGTGGTTTGCAGCCAAGGTGCTGGTGGCCATCAAGGCGGCGCTGCATGATCCCGGCAACGTTCTCTGGGACTGGCACCTCAAGTTCGGCAACGACCCGTGCCACTGGAGGATGGTCACCTGCCAAAAGGGACAAATTCTAGAGCTGTATGTTCTCCTTGCTCATCCTGTGCATACGTGGACGTTTATTTCTGTTCTGCCATGATTTTCACGTCCGGCTCATGGTTCTCTGCGTTTGTATTTGTACGCTGTTTGCATGGTTACGACGAACAAGAACCTCTCTGGCACGCTGTCGCCGGTGGTCGGAAAACTCAGGACGCTGCGATATCTGTAAGACAAAAGATGTAGAATTTCTATGTTAGTCCTGTCCGGAACATACGTAGTAGGAGCGAATTTTTAGGGAACTCTGAGGAGCCTTTCAGTTCTAGTGAGATCCCTGTCGATGTTTCACCACCGATAGGTTGCCATGGGGTCCCCAGGGCAGTTTTGTTCGGGCTTCAGCGTGTGCAGAACTCGACGGTGAACGCAAGAGACAGTCGATTTATCCTGGTTCGGGCCCTCGATAATTGATTGAGTAATAACCCTACGTCCAGTCGGCGTTAGCCTTTGCGTTGGATTGATTGTGTTGTGTTGTGTCGTCGTAAAGTCTCTAGGAACGCTGTCCTCCTTTATATAGTCAGGAGACCAGAGTCCTAGTCGGTTTACAATGAGAGTTTCTATTAGGATTACAGAATAATACTACTACTAAGATTACATGGAAAGAATCCTAGTTAGACTAGATCTTCTCCCTTTTTGGTGGGGTATCCTGTGGGTCCCGCATCGACAAGCCCCCGAGCACTTCATGGTTGAGCTCTGGAAGCGTCGTCTTGTTCCTTTAGGTCTTGCTGGGCAGGAACAAGCGTCATCCGAGTGCTTTCTTGAGTGAAACCGTGTAGCGCTTCTTGGGATCTTTGAGTGGTGTGTGCTTTTTTGAAGAAAAAAGTACTCCCCTCTGAGTGTAGCCCCTGAGCCTATTGCTGTTTGGAACAAGGAGCTGGAGGGTCTTGTCTTGAAATTTCTCTGATTCTTCGTCGAAGAGCTCTCGAGCATATACCCTGGTTCTTTATAAAAAGAACTCGGATATAGCTCGGTCCGTGTTCTTTTTGTCGTGAGGCCTTGAAGTGGTCTGTCTTGAAGAAGTCTTCTCGGTGATGTGCACTTTTTTGAAGGAAAAAGTGCACTCACTGAGTGTAGCCCCCGATCCTCTTGCTATTTAGAACAAAAAGTTGGAGGGTTTTGAATCTTATGTTGTTTGAAAACTGCCGTCTTGAAGAAGTCTCCTGTTGCAACCCCCGAGCATATATCCAGGTTCTTTTTTATTCGGAAAGAACTCGGATACAGGGTCTTGGCATATTCTCTGGTAGTCTGTTGTTGTCAGATGTATTTGTATGGTAGTGGTTGAGTGTAAACATTGTTTGTTCACGAGTTGTACAGTGTTGGTATATTCTTCTGAATATGGTCGTTCTTGAGTACTGTTTCTTCACGCCTGAGTCATCTTTCATTGAATTCTATATTTTCACTGCGTCCCTTGTTAGGTTTATTCCGTTGGTGCTCCCGGTCCATGTCCACCGCTTCTTTGGTCTATAAATACCCTCCTGGTGTGCTATTTTGATTCATCAAGTATTTTGTTGCGTGGTCTGAAATCTCTGTAGTCATGAATATGATAGTTTCTGAAGTAGAGCAGCCCCCGGACGTATTTTGTAGTTCTTGTATATCTTGAATGTACCAGAAATGTTCTTGTCCAGGTTCGGGTTCTTGCTCCGGAGGTCCCTTTGTCCAAGATTGCGGAGGAAGCCGAGAGTCAAGAATATCTGGATGTCGTTGAAAAGGTGGAGCCTTTGTACGCCAGCCTCTATGATAGGATATTGTACTCCTTTTTGAATGAAGATTCTTTATTTTTCGTTGATGTCTTCTTTGCATAGATGTCTTCGCCTTGTTTATTCTTCAAATGAGTTGTCTAAGTGATCAGAATTTTTTCTGAGTAGTCGTTTCTTGGGCGTGGCACGCATCCGCAGTTTAGAGTGGTCGTGTTCTTTTATCCATTGTAGGACAATTCCTTGATAGGTCGAGCATTTGTATGGCTTTTATCTGAGCCTTGACTTGTCGAGTGCTTATTTGGCTTTTATCTGCACCATGTAAACAACTCGGGATATGAAGATCGTTGGCTTGACAAAGTTTCTTGATTTGTCGATTGCTTGTCTGGCTTTCATCTGCGCCATGTAAACAACTCGGGGTAGATCGTTGTCTTGACAAACTTTGTGTTCTTGTCAGTACTGAAAAGACTTAGGACCGGCGATCTCAAGTATCTTCAGCTTCTTCTTTTCAGCTTTTCGCTTAACTTGAGATGTGGTCAGCATCTGGTCCCTTTCCTGGTTGCAAAAATATCTCAGGATCGATAAGCCCCCGAGCACTCCATGGTTGAGTTCTGGAAACCTCGTCTTGTTCCTTCAGGTCCTGCCGAGTAGGTACAAGCGTCGTCTGAGTGCTTTCTTGAGCGAAACCGTGTAGCGCTTCTTGGTATCTTCGAGTGGTTTGTGCTTTTTTAGTACATCCATCTGAGTGTAGCCCCCGAGCCTCTTGCTATTTGGAACAAAGAGCTGGAGGGTCTTGTCTTGAAATTGCTCTGATTTATGCTCAGGCTTAGTTTCAATCATTTTGCTTTTTGTTTCGGGTGTTAGCTTATTAGCTATCCTCATCGGCGGGTTCAAGCATCTTTTCAGCTCTTTTTCTCTCGGCCGGTATGCTCAGGCGTATTTCGGCCATTTTGCTTTTTGGTTCGGGTGTTAGCTTATTAGCTACCCTTATCGACGGGCTCAAGCATCTTTTCAGCTCTTTTGCTCTCGGCCGGTATGCTCAGGTGTATTTTCAGCCATTTTGCTTTTTGTTTCGGGTGTTAGCTTGTTAGCTACCTTCATCAGCAGGCTCAAGCATCTTTTCAGCTCTTTTGCTCTCAGCCGGGATGCTCAGGCGTATTTTCAGCCATTTTGCTTTTTGTTTCGGGTGTTAGCTTGTTAGCTACCCTCATCGGCGGGCTCAAGCATCTTTTCAGCTCTTTTGCTCTTGGCCGGGATGCTCAGGCGTATTTTCAGCCATTTTGCTTTTTGTTTCGGGTGTTAGCTTGTTAGCTACCCTCATCGACGGGCTCAAGCATCTTTTCAGCTCTTTTGCTCTCGGACGGTATGCTCATTGGAAACAACTCGGGGAAAGCCATAATAGGACATGTGTTGTCGAAAAACCATCTTTATTGATCATGAGCATTGATAAGCCATAATAATACACATGTTGTCGAGGAACACCATCTTTATTGGTCATGAATATTGATCTCTTGTGGCTTGTATATATATTCTTCCTTGAGTTGTTTTCATGCGTAGAATCTTCTTAGCTGGCTGATGTGCCATGTATTGTTGACTTCTTTTCCATCTTCAGTTATCAACTTGTACGTGCCTGGTCCGGTGACTTTTGCGATAATAAAAGGACCTTCCCATGGACTGAGTAGTTTATGGCGTCCGTCAGTTTTTTGTATTCTTCTTAGTACCAGGTCTCCGACTTTTAGTGACCGAGGCTAGGTATTCTTGTTGTAGTGGCGTCTTCATCCTTTGAGGTATCTTGCTGATTGAAGGGTAGCGTTTAACTTCTTCTGTACTGTCGAGCTCTAATCTTTGGGTGTGTTCTGCTTCTCTTTCGTCATATTGTTCTATCCTTGGTGATGTCCAGATCAAGTCAGCGGGTAGTACGGCTTCTGACCCGTAAACTAGGAAGAAAGGCGAGTATTCAGTGGCTCTGCTTATTTGAGTTTGTAGCCCCCATACGACCTTGGGTAATTCTTCAATCCATAGTCCACTAGTTCTTCATACAATCTTGGTTTTAATCCTGCTAGTATGAGTCCATTAGTCCTTTCTACCTGTCTGTTGGCTTCTGGATGTGCGACTGATGTGTAATCTATGCTGAAGCCACAGTCCTGTGCCCAACTTTGGAATTCTGTGACTGTGAAGAGAGAACCTAAATCTGTTATGATTCGATTGGGTATGCCGAAGCGGTGCATAATATCTTGAATGAACTCGACTGCTTTGGCTGCGCTGTATTTTGCGAGTGGCTTGTATTCAATCCACTTGGTGAACTTGTCAATTACTACGAAAATGTACTTGAAACTGCCCTTTGCTTTCTTGAGAGGTCCTACTTGATCCAGCCCCCAGCAGGAGAAAGGCCAAGCAGGTGGGGATGCAGATAAGATTATGAGCTGGTACATGAGCTTGTCTTGCGAACATTGGACAGCCTTTGCATTTTCTGACGAGTTCTTCTACGTCTTTCAAAGCGGTTGGCCAGTAGAATCCGGTGCGAAATGCTTTGCCGATTAGTGTTCTTGAAGTGGCATGATTTCCGCAGCAACCTGAGTGTATTTTATCTAAGATCTCTTTGCCTTCTTCAAACGAGACATATTTTAGGAATACTCCTGATGATACGGCTCTTCTGTACAGCTTTTCCCCTACTAGGACGTAGTTCTTGCTTCTATGAACAACTCTGGTAGACTCCTCTTTATTTGCTGGCAACTTGTTCTCTTTGATATAATCGATAAAGACCGGGTTGTTTGATAGAGGGAACTGATAACTCCTCTATGAATACACCGGGTGGGACCTTCGCCCTGTCTGATCCGAGCTTGGCGAGGATGTCTGCCGCAATGTTAGAATCATGCAAGACATGTAGAATTTCTAATCCTTGAAAATGTTTTTTGAGTCTTCGTATTTCAGCACAGTAAGTGCTCATGTTTTCTTTGGTGCAGTCCTAATCTTTGTTGACTTGATTTATGACAACTGCTGAATCGCCGTATACGAGTAATCGCTTGATTCTAAGGGTAATTGTCACTCGGAGCCCGTGGATGAGGGCTTCGTATTCTGCTTCATTGTTTGTAGCTTGCCATAATATCTGAAGGACATACTTGAGTTGTTTTCCGTCTAGAGAAATGAGGAGAACGCCTGCACCGGCTCCGCCTAGCTTGAGTGATCTATCAAAGTACATCTTCCAATGTTCAAGGATGGTATTTGCCATAGGTTGTTGAATTTCTGTCCACTCGGCCACAAAATCCGCAAGGGCTTGAGATTTAATTACCTTCCGTGGGGTAAAATCAATATTGAGAGCACCAAGTTCAACTACCCACTTAGATATGCGCCCTGTTGCGTCTTTATTGTGCAGGATGTCTCCGAGTGGGAAATCTATCACCACGGTAATCTTGTGGCTTTCAAAATAGTGGCGAAGCTTGCGTGAAGTGATCAGGAGGGCGTAGAGTAGTTTTTGCACATGCGGGTACCGGATTTTTTATTCTGACAATACTTCGCTGATGTAGTATACGGGGCGTTGTACTTTATATACGCGCCCCTCTTCTTCCCTCTCTACGACTATCGTCGTGCTGATCACAGTAGAAGTTGCCGCAATGTATAGCATCATGTCTTCATATTTCTTTGGAGGTGTGAGAACATGTGAGGATGTGAGGTATGCCTTAAGTATTTTGAAAGCTTCGTCGGCTTCTTCTGTCCACTCAAACTTGTCTGTCTTCTTTAGTAGTTTAAAGAAAGGTAACCCTTTTTCACCAAGTCTTGATATGAAACGATTGAGGGCCGCCATGCAGCCTATTAGTTTCTACACATCTTTGACACTTCGAGGAGGACCCATCTCTGTTATTGCTCGAATTTGCTTGGTGCTGGCTTCGATTCCACGATGACTGACCAAGAATCCGAGTAGTTGTCCTAAAGGAACTCCGAATAGACACTTCTTTGGGTTCAATTTCCACCTCCACCTTTTCAGGTTTTCGAAGGTTTACTTTAAGTCTTGAATTAGTGTGTCTGGGTTCTTTGTTTCTACTACCACGTCATCCACGTATGCCTCTAAGTTCTCTCCGATTTGATCACCAAGGCATGTTTGGATAGCTCTTTGATAAGTGGCACCAGCATTCTTGAGTCCAAATGACATGGTCTTGTAGTAGTGTGCACCGAACGGAGTGATGAAAGATGTCTTGCTCTGGTCTTGTTCCTTTAATGTGATCTGGTCATATCCTGAATAGCAGTCAAGAAAGGATAATAGGGCAGATCCTGCTGTTGAATCAACTATCTGATCAATGCGTGGTAGGCCGAACGGATCTTTCGGGCAGTGTTTGTTGAGATCTATGTAGTCGACACACATGCGCCACTCGTCCGTATTCTTTTTCTGTACTAGAACTGGGTTTGCTAGTCAATCTGGGTAAAGGATTTCTCTGATGAATCCGGCTGCCATTAGCTTTGTGATTTCTTTTTTGATTGCTGCCTTCTTGTCGGGTGAGAATCATCATAGCCGTTGCTTAACAGGCTTGGAGTCTTTATTGATATCAATTCTGTGCTCAGCTAACTCTCTTGGGACACCTGGCATGTCGACCGGCTTCCAAGCGAATATATCTTTGTTGTCCCGAAGAAAGTTGGTGAGCGCGAGTTCCTATTTTGCCGAGAGGTGGGCGCTGATGGTTGCCGTTTTGGAGGGATCACCGGTGCCCAGGTCGATTTGTTTGACGTCGGCTTCTTTTGGTGGTGCGAGGATGCTGGGTTTTTTAGCCAGTATCTCTAGCTCTTCTGGGTTCATTTCTCCTACAATAGTGGCTATTTCTTTTCTACCATTGGCGGCTTGTGCTTTTGCTATAATTTGGATTTCCTGAACGTCGTAGTCAAAAGCGCGCTTCAAATCACTTCGAAGGGAAAGGACACCGTTAGGCCCTTCTGGGTTTTGAAAACCTCTTTGATTTGTCAGCCACCGCTACTGTATTGTCTGGTCCACATTTTCTTTCCTGATGTCTGTTGTTTCGATGATTTTGCTTGTCCGGGTTGTCTTGGTTGTTTCTATCTAGGAACCTTTCTCATGTCTTCTCCTCTGCAGTAATCATCTTTTCTACTGTTCATCTGAATTCTTCATTGTTTCTCGGGTTTTCTTTGCAGAAGTTTTGAAATTGCCACCTTGCCATGATTCCGTGAGAGAATGCTTTGATTACTTCTCGTTCGGTGATGTCATGTACTTGAGCTCGTAGTTCGCCAAATCATCGATAGTAATTTCTGAGACTTTCACCTCATTTCTGCTTGAGTCCTTTTAACTCTGCGTGGGTGATTGGGTGTGTAATGATACCCGCGAAATTTTCACAGAAAGCTCTTTGCAAGTCCTCCCAATTTCTGACTGATCCTAGATTTAATTTGTCGAACCATTGGAGGGGCATGGTTTCTAGGGCCATGGGAAAGAACAAGGTCTTGATATCATCGTCTCCTCCAGCCAGTTCGATCGATTGTGAGTAAATCCTGAGCCACTGCCTTGGTTCGGTCTTGCCATCATACTTAGAGTGGTTGGACGGCTTGAACTTGTGAGGTAGTCGTATTGAAGCAAGTCTGTTTGCAAAACAGGGGAATCTATCGTGCGTCCCGGCTTCTCTGTACTCTGATTCAGCACCTCCTTCCAGCCAACTGTCATTTTGGTGAGAGTAGTTCTGCAGGGCTGTCCGAATGGGTGCTTCACTTTTGATCTGTCTTGGTTGTTCGACTTGGTAGTTTTGACTGTGGTCCCTTCTACTTTCTTTGTTGTGACTTTGACTTGGTCCAAGTCTCTCCAATGCGGACTTCCTTTGATTTTGATCTTCCTTGCTATGAGATGTTGACCTAGCAGATAATCTTGAGCGGGTTCTTCCATCGTGCGTTTTTGGCCTGCTGTCCGGAGGAGGTCTCTGAGTTGTTCCTGTTGCTCACTGGGATGTGAGGTCACTCCGAGTTCTTCTAGTGCTTTTTGGATCCTATTGTAAGCTGTATTTGCTGTTCGTCTTTCTTTGACTTCTTGTTCTAATCTTCTTCTGTTGTACTCGACCAGATCTGACTCATATCTGATCCAAGCTTCCTTACGCTGCCTAGCACGGCATTGGCGTCCTTGCTTCAATTTGTTTTTTTCTTTCTCTGGCTTGCCTCTGATTCTCGGTCTCACCATCGTAGCCCTGGGCAAAGGGTGATATGTTGGACTCAGATTCATCCGAGGACCTGATGTCGGGTGCTTCTAGGGGGACCAATGGTGATCGAGGATGGCGAACCATGAGTACTTCCCGTGCGTGAACTGTTCTGTTATCGACGTTGATTTCCGTACTGTCGGAGTTGCTGATAACTTCAGTAGAGGTTTTAAGGTCGTAGATCGAGTCTCCTTCTTGGTAGGGTAGAATTGTTGTTGTTGTCATATCGACTAGTCGGGTACTGCTGTCTTCAGGAACAGAACCTGGCTAGTGGACGATGCAGTCTTGAGATGTTATAGTTAGTACGAGACCTTCCTGAGCTCCTTTTAGTGGCATTCTAAGCACCGGATCGAGGGATCCTTCGAGCCGTGCCTGATAAGCCTTTGCCTTGTTGTGGAGTCCGAACGGAAAAAGACCTGACCTCTTGAAAAGACTCTGAGTGTTCTCCGAGTTGTTTTCTTGATATGCCGAGGTCGCATTCTGGAGCCCCATCGGAAAAGAACTCGGTTTCTCGAAAGAACTCGGGTAATACTCCGTCTCGGATGCGGAGCCTGAATTCGAGTCGGATGCGCAAAACCGCGAAGTCTGAGTCGGTTCAGTCATCACGAGCTGCGCGAATCTTCCTGTGAGTTGACCTGTCGTAGTCGCCGAATAGAAAAGTCTTCATGGTGATCTGAATCTTCGAGGAGATGGCTTTGGAGCTTGCCATCGTCGCCTGCCTCGCAGATCCATGAGCCGAAGATGAAGGTTGATCCCATTGAGAAGTTCATGTTGTCGAGGTCCGTCGAGCTCTCGGATGCAAATTCACCAAAAGCCCCTACCTGATGCGCCAGCTGTCGATGTTTCACCACCGATAGCCTGCCACGGGGGTCCCCAGGGCAGTTTTGTTCGGGCTTCAGCGTGTGCGGAACTAGACGGTGAACGCAAGAGACAGTCGATTTATCCTGGTTCAGGATCTCGATCGTTGATCGAGTAATAACCCTACGTCCAGTCGGCGTTAGCCTTTGCGTTGGATTGATTGTGTTGTGTTGTGTCGTCGTAAAGTCTCTAGGAACCCTGTCCTCCTTTATATAGTCAGGATGCCAGAGTCCTAGTCAGTTTATAATGAGAGTTCCTAATAGGATTACAGAATTATACTACTACTAAGATTACATGGAAAGAATCCTAGTTAGACTAGATCTTCTCCCTTCCTGGCGGGGTATCCTGTGGGTCCCACATCGACAATCCCCTTGAAATTCCCAGGCTGTACTAATTTTTTAACACATTCAGTTTGTTGCATGCAGCCATGCACTTCCTACTTGCTGTTGTGAGCTGTGACTTGTGAGGAAATGATGAGTTTGTTTTCAAATTTTGGTAGGTTGTTAAGCCATAATGCTCTTTCTGGCCCTATCCCTGACACCGTAGGCAGGATGAAGCTTCTTGAAGTACTTGACCTCTCAAACAATTATTTCAGTGGAACCATCCCAAGTACACTGGGTCATCTGGCCAAACTGCATAACCTGTAAGACTAATAAATCTTCCTGATGCCAACATTATATCCAGACATATCTGTATCTCAGTTCTGTAGATTATCTTTAAATCTGAAGATTGATCGAGTCACATGATCTTTATTTTATCGGCCTCTTGTCTCTTTCCTCCAGGAAATTGAACAATAACAGCTTATCTGGACCTATATCCGAATCACTAGCCACTGATGCTCCCATGATCTTCAGCCTGTACTTTCTATTGACAACCTTCTTTTTATCATTGCTGCATTGTTCTTTGAATGAATATGTCCAGTTCTCACTGTGAGTGTGAGCTTTACCATATTCCTCATTTCTAAGAAACAAAAGTTACTTATGTTCTACAGGGATGTTTCCTTCAACAGCCTGAGTGGTCACCGGCCGACTTTTCGAACATGGAATGTCTTGTAAGTGATCTCAGGTTCATATTTGCGTTCCCTGTATCAACTGGGGCAACATCAGCTTTGGAGTAAAGCTATTTATATATGGTTTTCCTCCTTTCTCATTTCCTTAATCTATTATGCCTGAATAGTTTCTAGGGTAATCCATTCCTAAGTGATATCGACTCAGAGTCAATTGCTCCCCCCCGTAGGCCCAAAGGATGGGAAAGATGGTTGTTCAGTGTCCAATTCTGGACACTTCCAATTTCATTTTAGTAAAGTTAACTGATTCAAGTGAGCATATTTTCTTGTGAGTATGTGTGCTCACCACAATTTTTTTTTTCCTGCAGAGGATTTTCAAGTCATGAGTAAAAGCATTTTTATCCTCCTACTATGCATAGGAATTGGTTGTTTACTGGTGGCCATTGTGGCTGGAGTTGTCGTGTTTTGGCGAAGGCGTCAGCGTGAGCGAGTCTTTGCAGTTGCAGATGGTAATATTTTTTCTTCAAATGCTATATACGTGTTTAGATCTGTTGAACTTTGGGAACATTAATCTGAAAAAGGGGTTGACAGATTCATGTCTCACATTGCAGATGAGGATCCTAGTGTTACATACGCTGGGATCATCCAACTCTATCTTATTAACATGTTTGCCATTGCATAAGAAATTTGTTTATAAATAAAAATGTTTCATTGTTGTATGGTGTAGCACCCGGTTTTAAGAACAAAACCAGATATGCACCATATGTGAGCCCAGAAAGTCAAATCTCATATATAGCTACAAATAAGGGTAATATTAAAAGATAATGCTCAATATCTAACGTACTTAGTATAAAGGATATAATCTTAGACAGCAAACAACGGAAAGACAACTCCGATCTTCGGATAAAGACTCCAATCCACAGGGACAACTGACTGGTTGATCACACGCCTAATTCCTCCAAACTCTAGCAATCTAGTACCCATCCGAGATTTTTTTCCAAATATGTGAAAAATAAAGCAAGCATAAGTACATGTCGTACTTAACAAATATAACATGGGGTTCATGAGGCTCAAAAGGCTAACACTGGTTTAACTGCGATTAGCTTTTATTGAGTCATGATTTCAGCAATAGGGTGGCAATAAAGTTATCATAAGCCCATAAACACATGATCAGGTAAACAGAAATAATGAATAGCATAAACAATATTTATTAGTGAGCATCTTTATCATCAGTATCACCAGTGTTCATCATCATTAACCATTAATGATCATCTATTCCGTAAATGTTCCAAGGCCGCTCGTGACTATCAGCACGGCTAATATACCAGTTTTACACTCTGCAGAGGTTATACACTTTTACTGTAAGTCGTGATTTACCCTTTCGTTCGAGGTAGCTAATCTCTTGACCTACTTCCAAGGAAGGTCGGCAGGATTCACTATGAAGTCTTTCAAAGGTTCGTCTAATAAGTTAGGGCCATTAGATTCACTCGGCAAACAGATATAGGAACCCCCTATCGAATGGCACAATGACACGCAGCCTATACATAAGGGGACAGAGGCCGCACTATACCCAATTCGTCAGGCCATTCTTATGCCAATAAAGGTAACCACTAACAAGCTAGAAAAAGGTCCTCATACTGAGCTAAAGCCAGAGCCATGTAGCCCTCACAGCTGTACTTTAAGTCCCGGATGATCACTTATAGATAAGTCCTTAGGGAGAGGAATCTAGAGCACCATAAAAATAGCCCAATGCTTTAGCCCCCTGGTTCCATGCTGCTAAAAAAATCATTTTTTAGTGTTTATTGGATATACCATTAGTCAAGTTACAAGATCATGGTTGTGGTTTGAGCACTAGATCATACTACCCAATGCAATACCCCATAGAAATCAAGGCACAAGGTAACAAAGCACTAGGAAATACTTAGTGGTAATCAAGGTAGACACATGGAGTATGAATTAAATGATTAAAGGTGTATAGGACAACAAGGATGATCCCATGCTATACTTGCCTTAAACTTAGATCCTTCTTCAAGTCCAAAACTTCAAAAATCTGCTTCTTGATTCCCCACGTATAACTCACCGACTGGATAAGATCATAAAGCACCACACAAGCATCCATGCAATCATACACGAAGCAAACAATAGATCTAGATTAGAACAGTACACCAATCATAGAAAAATAAGTAAAAGAGTTTGAAACACGATTCTACGCATCGCTACGAACACATATAGACGCGAGAGGCACACTAATCGGAGCTACGCTTTGAAAGAAACGGCTACCGAAAGATCTACTCATAAGAAAAAATATAAAACTATAAGCTTCATGTGTTTGAACTATATAAAAGATTATATAAATTGAATTAAGTCAAATTTATATTTGAATTATAAAACTAAAATAAAACAAGTCATATTTTATTTATAAAATCCAGTTGCATAATTATTATCCAAATTAGAAGTTAAACCATGAAATTTCAGAAATAGTGACATGGTAAACAATGTTACTAACGCGTAGATCTTGTCGCTATGAATCTAACGCAACTTGAATGGGCTAAAACGGAGTTGAAACATAGAAGATGTGAATTAAATAAGATTTTCTTTAATAAAATAATAGATTAAATCTAACCTTTAATTTTAAAAGTTGAAAACATATCTAACAGTAGTATGAACATGTAGATTATGAAATTACGAACCTAATGCAAGTTGAACGGGTCAAATCGGAGTTAAAACGACAAAGTTATAGCCTAAATAAATCTAGTGGTAAAACTGTAAATAATTGAAAACGTATTTTTGAAGTCCACCGAACAAGGTATGTTTTTAAAAGAAGAAGGCGTAATCTGTCAAATACGCAATGGACCACAGGTTCGATAATAGAAAACACAAGGGCTCTTTTGCAATGTTGGACGGCCGAACCGGTACAGGCAAATCAGGGCCACCGGATAGGGAATTGATGGTGGAGATTAAAAGACGGGGAGAGAGAAGAGAGGTGCTGCGAGCGGCACGGCGGTGGCACCATGACCGGTAGCAAGCGAGCCCACCGGAATAGTGATACTGGGCGCGGTTTATAACGGGAAGTGCATGAGCGGAGAGAGGGAGGCACGGCGAACTTACTACGGCGGATCTCGGGTGCGCGGAGCAAGTGGAGCGGCGCTATGCTTGGCGAGGCGGACGGCGGATGGTGGCGCTTAGGGTTTGCGGTGGTGCGGTGACTCGACGAGGCGGCAGCAGCGCTGGAGCGAGATAGGGAGGCGGCGCAAGGTGCGGCTCAGCATTTATGAGCGTGGAAAGGCGTGTGTGGCACGGCAACCGAGCGAGGCGGGGCAGCGACGGACTGCTCGGTGGAGTCCGAGTCGGCTATGCGAGGTAGAGGAAGAGCCTGACAAGGCGGGTCCATCGGTCCGTGAGAGCAAATGTGGGCCAGGGTTAACAACCAAAGAGGGGATGCGCGCGGGCGCTGTGGCCTACTGGGCCGATGCCAACGGGCCGTGGCGGAGGCAGAGCGGGTTGGGCCGCGGTCGCGTGGGAGCAAAGCTGGGCTACGCGGGGAGGAAGAGCTGGGCCTACAACTGCTTCAGCCAGAGCTGGGATGGGCTACGAAACTGAGGGAGAAGCCGGGCCACTTGGCCTTGGGCTCGAGGAAGCGGAGGAGGGAGCTGGGCCGTCTGGCCAAAAGAGGAGGGAAAAAGATTTTCCATTTTCAAACCCTTTTCTATTTTCCTTTTTAAAACCAAATTCAAATATGATCCTCAACAAATTCAAATAAAGTTTTGAATATACTTTTCAAATCAAATAAAAGTGAACAATTTTGGTAGGTTTCTAAAAATAAATTTTCACAACTTTTTATATCCTTTTATTCTTAAATTTTCTTTTCTTTTATTTCAAAGTAAATTTTAATTTCATTTGCAAAAGCAATTTAAACCATTTTAAATTTTCAATCAAAACCACTCAAACCAAATAAATCAAATGCAAGGGCATGTATGCTCAAACATGTTGCTACCTTATGATGAATTTTAATTTAATGATTTTTTTTATTTTCCTATATTTCATATGCACAAAATTCCAAATTAAATATTTTTAGCTCCATTTCCAAAAATTCAAATTTTAGGGTGTTACTACCACTTTGTAGCACCCGGTTTTAAGAACCAAAATCAGATACGCACCATATGTGAGCCCAGAAAGTCAAATCTCACATATAGCTACAAATAAGGGTAATATCAATAGACAATGCTTAAATACATAACGTATTAGTATAAAGAATATAACCTCAGAGTATAGACAGCGGAAAGATAACTCTGATCTTTTGGTGAAGACTCCACTTCCACAAGGACAACTGACTGGTTGAATAACAAACCTAATTCCTTCAAACTCTACCAATCTCATACTCATCTGGGATTTTTATCCAAAGATTTAAAAATAAAGAAAGCGTAAGTACATGTCGTACTCAACAAATATAACATGGGGTTCATGAGGCTCAAAAGGCTGACACTGGTTTAACTGCGATTAGCTTTTAATGAGTCATGATTTTAGCAATTGAGTAGCAATAAGTTTATCACAAGCCCATATAAACACATGATCAAGTAAACATGAATAATGAATAGCATAAACAGTAATTATTAGTGAGCATCTTTATCATCAGTATCATCTGCGTTCATCATCATTAACCATTAATGATCATGTATTACGTAAATATTCCAAGGCCGCTTGTGACCGTGAGCACGCTGATATACCAGTTTTACACTATGCAGAGGTTGTACATTTTCACTGTGAGTCGTGATTTACCCTTTCGCCTGAGGTAGCTAATCTCTTGACCCACTTCCAAGGAAGGTAGGCAGGGTTCACTATAAAGCCTTTCAAAGGTTCGTCTAACAAGTTAGGGCCATTAGATTCACTCGGCAAATAGATGTAGAGCCCTCCTTCCCGATGGCATAATGACGTGCAGCCTATACACAAGGGGACAGAGGCCGCAGTATACCTAATTCGTTAAGCCATTCTTACGCTAATAAAGGTAACCACTAACAAGCTAGAAAAGGTTCTCATACTGAGCTAAAGCTAGAGCCATGTAGCCCTCACAGTAGTACTGTAAGTCTCGGATGATCACTTACAAACAAGTCCTTAGGGAGAGGAATCTAGAGCACCATAAAAATAGCCCAATGCTTTAGCCCCCTGGTTCCATGCTGCTAAAAAAATCATTTTTTAGTGTTTATTGGATATACCATTAGTCAAGTTACAAGATCATGGTTGTGGTTTGAGCACTAGATCATACTACCCAATGCAATACCCCATAGAAATCAAGGCACAAGGTAACAAAGCAATAGGAAATCCTTAGTGGTAATCAAGGTAGACATATGCAGTATGAATTAAATAATTAAAGGTGTATAGGACAACAAGGATAA